TACAGGAGCAAATTGACTCTGGCTCGACCGAGTACAATGACGCGAATAATAAATACAGCGACGTCGGGTGTGGGCCTATTACATGCGTATACGATCGAGTAGCAGAATTTTATAATCCTGTGGCTGCTGTTGTACCGGATCGACCCGCACATAGCTGTATCCGATTACCCCGTGCCGCGCGTTTGGAGAGCCGAGAGCGACGCATCCACCCCCGTACGTGCATTCGAATATATATAGGCTGCAGCTGAAATCTGCGCGCGAGCCGTGTACCCTATATACAATGCACGGAAAATCGATAATTCGTTAAATGCCAATTGCGAAATGCGGAAATATATATGAGTCAGAATCGTCGATATATAATCGTTATGCAGCGGCTAAATTTCGACGTTTCGAATTCGTATACTCGGCTGGCACAGCTGATCCTCGCTTGCATTCGTACGTATATACCCCCATACACGCGCCCACATAAGCGTGCCGTTCGCGGGCGAGCCTGACACGGGTCGATCATTATTATATATTGGAAAGCTGCGCGCTGATTGAGAGCTGACACGGATCGGCTCTGTCTCTCTCTCTCTGGAGGAATGATAAATGACAAAAGTGTGCTGTATATACGCGTGCCAACCTGGGCACTGACGTCTTTTTGAGGAATTAGAAAGTTATTATTCAATGGTTGAAACCGCGATCGATGTATGGTTCGTTCGCGCTGAAACACGGTTTCGGCGCAGGCTGCATAAATAATTTTTTAACTTCGAGATTTATGGAAGCTTCTAATCCGAGAACGTTGCCAACTATTGCAACCGAAGTATTTCAAGTCCTTCGAGTGGATTTCATTCTCAATTTTTACTTATATATGCACAAAAGCCATTCATCGATGCGTTCCAGAACAACAAAAAAAATTCATCCTCGAGCATAACCAATGACGCTTCAGAAGTGTACCGGTCATCGTACGTTTAAAGGGCAAAAAGAAAAGCCCTCGAGAATCATGTCGACCGCACTCGATGATTTCACTTCCTTCTCTTCTCTTTTTTTTTTAATTCATATGAAAAAAAAACCGCCCGATCGTAATTTATTTCCGCATATTCCGGTAAAAGAAAAATATACCCGAACATTAATTTTTTCCTCGCTCTTCTTCTGTTGCGCGATGCACAATGAGCGCATAGATGAGCTGCCGGACCTCTTGTGGACGTTACACAATGTGTGAATCCGTAACGGGCGAATATCGATCACGAAGGGGCCCCCGAAAAGTGTTCCTATCTCGAGTACGAGTGTTGTGTACTGTATACAGCACACGCGGACTGACCCAAAAGGTCAGTGAAACAAAAAAAAAAATGGAACACGTCCTGCCCGTAAGGACGAGGAAAAAAGAGGGAGAGAGGCGTATGCTGCGTCGATGTCGAAAATCGAAAACTCCGAAAGCGATTAATTTATCGCGAAGGTTCGGAAGTCTGGCGAGCGACGTTTTGGCGCGCGAGGAATATTAATCGCTCTTACAAGGAAAATCTGACGCGGTACACGGGAGGGCGTCGTCGTTCGAGTGGATGTATAAGCGTCTTGGACGCGCGAGTCGTTTGTCGGACACGCGTGTAAATTCAAGTCAATTATCCTCGTTACGATTTTATTTACTATACGAGCCTGTATCGCTGAGATTGACTCGAAAGTCGTTGCGTTATTTATTTAATTTCCGAAACGATCCCAAAATAAGCACCCATTCATCATTCACTCTTTTTTCACTTTTGACGGAAGTAAAAAATTGAAGTATAAAATTCGAACGCATAGCACTTGAAGTTCTAATGACTTCGAGCCTCGGTTTCTACGGGCGCGCGCGCCATGTCGCTTCGAGTGCCCAAAAATGACATTCATTACGTTCAAATGATGATCGATGTACTTCCTTGGTGGTATGAACGATTCGAAGTTCGATATATTTCGGATAAAAAAGGTAACATCTTCGAATCTTCGGTTGCTTTCGATAGGTCATTCTCGAATTTTGAGTTCAGTCGAAACTTGAAAAGTCTCAAAGTCGCAGCTAAATAATTTTTTACGCAACAAATATTAATAAAAAACGGTATTGAGCTATATGACTTTTACAGGTCTACTATTGAAAATAATAAAAGTCATAACTTAATTTAAACTGAATTTTTCATTTTTTTTCTGCAACTATATGGTATAAAGCTGTCGCTATCGATTCGATTGGGTACGCGATTTGATTTGTGGCAAATCCTCGCGACCCAAAATGAATAACTCACGAATTATACTGCTCGTTCATTAAAGCATCTTACCGAGCACTTGGGAAGGATGCGCGAATGAATAAATCGAGTATACGCGTGAGAGATACGTCGATATTATTCCCGCGACAAATGCGCAATTTACGACCTTTGGAGTGCGAGAATTCGAACCCTTTCGCCGGATCGAGTGCACCCTTGATCGCGCGCGACTCGATCGATTTGAATTTCGTGCGCATACAGAAAAAAGCCGTAGAGAATCGGATATGAATTTTCAATGGACGCCGAGTGCGCATTATAAATAAAAGCTCCATCTAGAAGATGTGACGTAGCGTGAAATATTTATTGTGAACGTTCGACGATGCACGTCTCAATATTCGAACCATCGATCGTAGCAAATGCTGTAAGTTAATTTAATTTATTAATTTTTTCATATTGATGACGAAAATACGACGACGACGACTACGATTTATTGGATTGTAATTGAATTCATCATCGAATTGCATTTCTCTGATTATGTAGTATATTACTTTATAAACCAGCTGCTCGCCGAGTCAAACTGCAACTGATTCACTCGGCTTAATTTTGTCGGTTTTACAATAATAAATACAAAAAAAAAAAAGAAACGAATACATTGTTATTGTTCTTACTCTATGTATGTAAATAGCTTATACGATTAAAACTTGTATTTTTTAATGCCCTCGCTTACCTTAGAAGCCCGTATCGTTCGCGAAAAACGATTTATACCCCAGCTCGCGCGCTCTCGCTCCTTCGAATATCGTACGATTCAATAATTTATGAATATCCTAATGCGTAAACGCGCACAAAGGTACGGGCCAGCTCGTGAAACATGGTCAGCGGTGGTGAACAAAAAAAAAAAAAAAGCAGGAAAAAAATAAGAAAAAAAATCAATATAGCCCCGCGCGCGCGCTCGTGAATAATTGAGCACTCGAATGTTACTCAACTCGCCATCGGAGGCAAGCAGAAAAAGCAGTTGCGCGCGCGCGGCGGGTCAACGCAGAGATCTGCGGTGTACTACCCGCACAGGTACAACACGCGCTCCGTAATATATATATATGAATATATAAATACGCACATGATACACGCTCGAAACGTATCATTAAACTTGCGTATACGCGTATATACGGGGTGGCATTGAATATGTACCGCGAAACGACCGCAAAACTTTTCAATTGACCAACGCAAAACGCGGGGCATAGAGAGAGAGAGGAAAAATCGTACGTTATCATCGACGGGGCACATGGGTGTTTGTATGTATACACACGAGCCGAAGCGTGTTATACGTGGCCGATGTGTCACACAGCTCTCGAATGTAACGGCTATACACGAGCAGGACTACGTATGGAAACGAGACGAATAAATATTACATTATCCCGACGACAGAGAGAGAGAAAAAAGCTGAAAGTTTGATAATATCCGGTACTGCTGCTGGCTGGCTCGAAGGTGAGATGCGGGACAGCTGCGTGCACATTTACGCGCGCTTTACACGTATGTACGAGCGGCGCGTAAACGCATTTACAAATGTAATATAGTTAAATGCATCACAATGCACGCGACTCGCGGAAGCTGCGCCAAACTCGTGTGTGGGTGCACACCACGAACGCGTCGAGTAATTGGATATCTAATTACCAAACAAAGGCGATTGCATTCAACTGCGAACGCGTAATTGTGTTTTCTTCCTTCCCCTCGTGCACCTACGCGACGTTTCGCGCTTTTATCCATCGGGGCTTTGGTTTCGAAAACGAATGGAGACGAGATGCGGTGACTTTTTGTGCTTGACTGCGAGGCCTTTTTTTTGAGTCCGTGTGTGTATAGTAACTATTATTATAGTCTCTCGAATGAGATTGTCACAACAATGAGATATCCTTCGTGACGAACATCGGTATTAAAAATCGATCGACCGAGATTCGAGGGTGCTCATGCTCCTTTTTGTTATTCTCAGTTGCAACGAGAAAAAAATTGAGCGGGGGCTGAGCCGAATGACAGGATTACACGCGCATTTATACTGCGTAGGTGGCTCGGCAGATCGTACCTGCGAGGTGTATTTTTTTCTTCTTTTTATTCTTCTTGGCACTTGTCAACATCGCGTTTTCGCTTCACTGTAAGCAGGTTGAAATCCTGATCATTGATCGTGTCGTTGCGAAAAACGCGTTGTGAGCAGTCTTAGCAATTTTATGTTTCAAAAGGTTAATTTAGAAATTGAAGAAAAGCTAGTAAAATTTCTCCGTCTTCTCAACCCTTCGTTGAACGATTGGGAGAGCCAACTTCCAAATCTTCAAGCGCGTAGACTCAAGAAAGGCTTGCATTAAACCACTGTATTTAGTATATAAGGCTTATATTATAAGCACAATTTTGCTATGCATAATATAAACATGTAATAACTTTTTTATGAATTTATTTTGATGTATGTATAATAATTCACATATAATGCACCAAGATAGTAAAAAATAGCATTGTAAAATATAAAAATCAATGTGTAATCAATGTGCTAAAAAATATTATTAAAATAAAGCTCGAAAAACCATCGAACAGATCCTACCACCTCCTCAAACTAAAGCCATCAACTTTCTTAAATAAAAAATACTATCAGTAGCATACAAAATTGAAAATCATCTATCAAGGAAAATTTTGAAATTATTTTCTCGTATTTGTATTATTCGACTGTTGTGTTTGTATTCTAGCATTAGTTAGAGCGCGAAGACATGATGTTGACGTGAAGCTGATTTATTTGTACAATGGTTAGAATTAATAAAGCTGTGATTGTTTTCGGATCTCACACATCAAATTGTTGAACATTGATTAATCCATTCTAAATAAAATATTTATAATATTTATCAAACATCAAATAGTTTTGAATATATTATTTCATCGTTATTGAAGCATTCAGCATACAGAAAAAATGCCGCAAACTCTAATAGATCGAAAATATTTTCTTACAAGATCGAGTGCTGAGGTTCTCATTAATCTGGTAAATTATTTAAATGATAACGAAATTGAAGAAGAACAATTACAGGATAAAAATGTTTTGACGACTATATTGCGTGATGGGATGAACAGATATGTAAACCATCCACCTCCGTCCATATACTTAGACACGTTTAAAAGTACAATTATTACTTTTACAACGGATTATTTGAAAACTGTAAATTTATATCGTATCAATACCGCCGTACTTCTCGTGGGATGCATTGAATATATTTTGTTTCCCGAATTGGACGATGAAGAACTGAGAAAAATATATCATTGTAGCCACGTGAAGGCGAAAAAGATATATAATAAATTGCGTGGTTTCCCAGAACAGAAAGAACAAAACGATAACATAGTTGTAGCAGCTAGACAATTTTTTGAATGCCTAATTTTTATACGAAAAAGTGAATTTTTAAAAACAATTCGAAATTACTTGAGAGGCCTTGAGATAGACTCTAACGAACTACAATTTATACGAACAAAATCTATTGAAGTAATGTGAGTACATTTTTTAAAAGTGACTTATATAATTTCTTACTCAAAAATAATTTATAATTTTCAGTAAAGAAAAGGCAGCTAACGTCATTGCTCAACTACCAGTAGATCTTAAGGGTACCATCGAAGATAATGTACTCACGTCTGCTCCTGAATTGAGCGTGTCGAAATCAGTAAACCATAAATCTATTTTACCTAACTCTATAAAAATGATAAAAAAAAAAAAGCCGCTTCTCATAACTCGAGAATATCTTAATGCTAAATGTAATGCAAAGGTTATCATTAATTTGCAAGAATATTTAATTTTTGAGGAAATTGAAAAAGAAAATTTAGATGATAAAAATATTTTAAAGGATATCATTCGTAAGGGGATGAAAAGACAAGTGAATAGCAACCCCGAACGAATAGAATACAGCACATTAAAACGCACACTTCTTATGTTGACACCTGAATATTTAAAGACAATACATTTATATCGAATGAATGTTGGGGTATTGCTGGTTGTGTGTGTCGAGGTATTATTAAACGAAAATAACGAAAACTGTATCAAGGTATATCGTTGTAATCAATCAAGAGCAATCAAAGAATATAACAAATTGTGTGATTTACCAATCAAACAGAAACAACCAGCCGATATAGCTAAAGCAGCATATTCTTTTTTTCATTGTATGATGTTTTTAAAAGAAAATGGATGCTTGAAAACCGTACGATCATACCTGAAAGCAATATCTGATTATATTGACGATGACGAGTTATCTTACATAAGAGACACTTCAATTCAATTAATGTAAGTAAATACTTTGAAATTTTTAATAATATTTTTTATTCTGAAGTTATATTCAATTTTTAGACATGATAATGCAGCTAAGTACCGAGTTGAACCGACACAAATCGATCCGATCGATGATCATTAACTTCACCCAAAAACAATCGGCAGCTTTGTCTGCCTACGCTAGTTGTGCCATTGATTCATTAGTCGTATCAGAAACTCTTAGTCAAAACTCTTCTCACCAGATAATATTAGCTAGAATGTCAATTTTTCAAATGCATAACACTAATGGCTCGAATTGAAAATCTCATTTGACGCGAGGATGCTTTATAAATGCAGTGGCATTAGCTGTCACCCAAATTACCAAAAAATATTTTGTCAATGCAATATATCGAATCTTTTAATCTTAATTAAAAAAGTGTACCCATTCTACGTTGCTGGAGGTGTCCAGAGTTCATTGCTGTTATTCCGTAAATTTATTTTTTGTTCATCACGAGTTTACTCAAAAATTAATGGAAGCTCGAGGTACAAGTGACTTTTTACGTTTGACTGCGAGGCTATTTTTGAGTCCGTTCGTAGTAACTATTATTATAGCCTCTTGAATGAAATTGTCACAACAATGGGATATCCTTCGTGACGAAAGATCGGTATTAAAAATCGATTGACCGAGTTTCAAAGGTGCTTATGCTCCTTTTTGTTATTCTCAGTCGCACTGAAAAAAAATGAGCAGGGGATGAGCCCAATGACCGAATCACACACAACTGCGTAGGTGGCTCGGCAGATCATGCCTGAGAGGTGTTTTTTTTTTTTTCTTCCATTCTTCCTCTTCAAGGGCGTTGGAGGCCATCGATTCACTGCCACCGACGCGTGTAATAGGGGATTAAAGGGATTGGCGGTCGTGAATATTGAGCTCGCTCATACAGACGAGTCGAACTAACGAATTATAAACTTCAACGTCGACATCTCTTCGATATTAAACACTCGTTAACTTCGATCGTACACTCAACTTTAGGTATAATCTCGAATAGCATTTTGACGTTTGAAGTAGCATTTTGCAAGGGTAACCGAAAGTCATCGAACCATCGGCATTTATATCGGCAGCTGTTTGCGTGGTACACCGAGGCAGAATAATACGAGCGATCATTTTTTTCACCAAAGTACCTATGCACAATCGAGCGCAGGATTGTCGCGACGCAACGAAATCGCGATAACGTATAAACATAACGCGCGCGTCAATGGTCATTTTTCACCCGCGCAAACGCACAATGATCATCGCATAATGAAAAAAAATAATAATAATACAATGCGATAACCACGCGTCGATGCGAAAGGCTAATGTGCCGGAATATAATGAGAAACGGCAGCTTTCGCGCGTACGCACCGCGGTGGACTCGTACTGACAAAAAAAAACAGTAATAGTCAACGCGCGCCGATTATTAACGCCCGTTTAAACCCGTCGTATCTCCGCAGCTTATAAAAAATGAGAGAGAGAGAGAGAGGCCAGCAAGCTCGCACTTAATGACCGTAATCGCGCCGAAACCCACGCAGTAATATACAGATGTACATACGCGCCAGCCCAGTGGACGAGCATAATCGAGCACGCATCAACGCGGCTCGCTCGATATTATAACTTACGCGCACTCACCCCCTGCGAAGGTTTATATGTGAGCAATGTAGTAGCGAGGCTATACGACTCGATGACCGTCGCACGCGACCAAATATAATAGCGACGCGGCCAACTGCGCCGCATTAAAAAAGCGTTAGGCGGCCGACTCGCGATCCAAGTTAAGTACCCTAAAGGTACTCGTTGCGTGTTTGCGTCGACTGTATAGGCTGGCACGACGATGTTTTTTTCCTGGAGTCCGAATCGCACGCAAAACGGTTATGATTATAATATTGTATAGTCGGTAAGTGTTGGATAATGAATGGGACAAGTGCTGGACTTTGTTTTTGCGAAAAAGTGACCAAGCCAAAGAAGGAAATTTCCTAATCTAAAATACTTGTCAGCTTCAATCAATTAATTAGGTGAAAGATGATATAACTGTGATATAGCGAAGCAAATTTAACAAGTTATTGGGTTTACTGTATATATAGCCTTGAAATTTTTACGAGCTATGTTTAATACACTTATTTCGAGTCCGAAATTTAAGGATAAGGTCGTAAACTCGTTGACTCGAGCGCGATATCAATCAAGCTACAACTGAGATGAAATCTCAAGTGCTCACATTACTCTGTATAGAAATCGTAATAAAAATTTTACGCCGCATTGCACTTGCGATATACATACATTCATATCGCGTTCGGTGTATCGTTCTTAGTTTATATACAGGCGCCGCGAGCCCCGAAAATACATCGTCGAGAGCGTAGACCATCAAATTCGAGAAAGTTTTTCCAGAAAATTACCTCGCGTCCAAAATCGACCAGCCTCTTCATAAACAACCTCGACAACGACAGCACGGTAGCGAAAAAAAGAAAAGAGAGATACGAGTACGTACGACCCTTCGAAGAATCAGTACGAGTTTAGCGGTGGTATGTATCGTATATCCTTCGGACATTAGCTACAAAGTTACGCAGTATACGTATGAAGTACGTAACGGAGTTGTTTTTTTTTCTTCTTCTACTTTTCGCAACGACGTCTATGCGCTCGTAAACTATAATAGCTGCGAGCACGAGTGTACAAGGGGCAATGATTCGCTCACTTATATATTTTATCACTTGGAAACATAATATCATAAAGCAAATTTGCTAGAGACGATCGCGACCCTTTCTCTCTCTCTTTCTCTCTCGATGTAATGTTTGCAACTAGTATAACTCGGCAACCCTTTTAGGTGTATCGAGCGCAAGTGTATACGTGTAGAGGAATCGAGGCACGAAGCGCAATTATTTCATCGATTGGTTTTTCTCCCGCTGTTCCGAGTTACGACTTCTCGCGAGGCCCCCGAGAGAAGCATCCGATGACAAAGAGGTAGCGAGCCATAAAACCGAAAATACGAGCCACGCGCGCTCTCCGCTATATACAGTATACGTTTAGAAAAGTGGAGAGAAACTATGCAGTGAAGAGAGAGAGAGAAAAAGAAAAAGATGAGGAGAAAAAAAAAGGAGAGACGCGGAGAGGGGTCAAAGGTCGCTTTAATCTGTTGCGCAGATGCCCGCGTGCGTCTTTATTCGAGTTCGTACCGAGATTTAATACCCCCAATATACAGGAGCGAGCGAGTGAGAGTGAGAGAGAGAAAAAAATTGAATAAAAGGAAGGAAGGAAGGAAGGTATGTATGCGCGCGAGTGTACACGAGAATCAACGCGAAAAGAATCGACCTGGAAGGGGAGTAAGAGGGTAAAAATTCAAGTACTATCAAACGTACATCATGAATATAATGCGAGGCTCGAGAAATTACGATCATTCGTGTACCGGTCGCCGCGATCGGTACGTGTGCATAATTATCGCGCACGGGACAAGATCGTCGCTCGGCCAGAGGTTATTAGTCATATCGATGAAGACATTTTTTCCTCCCTGATGCCTTTTACACGCGTCCATTGGGAAATAAGCCTCCGAATTACCGAGCGAAATAGAGAGATCTCGAGGCTTGCGGAAACGCCGCGTATTTATAATATATCCTCGCGTCCGTATAATATACCAATGTGGCCGCTGAAGCGCGAAAAGATCCCCCCGACGAGCCGATGTTCCGTCCGCGTGCACACACCTCGCAGCTTTGTGTCGCAGCAGCAGACATCGCGTTACTTCCAAACCGTTGATTCCGGAGGATCGTTTCGTACTTAGGTGGATATAGAGAGAGAGAGAGCAGAAGCTCGATGTATAAGGCGCGTCCCTCGATCGTCATCAGCTGCTGCTGCTGCTGCGCCCAACGTGTCGATCATCGATGAGCCGTGCAGCATGTATAATAAATACCGAATGCTGCATAGGAGTGATTCGACGGAGACGAGCTTCTAGGCGAGAGTGAATGGATAAAAAAGGGTTGGGTACGCGAGAGGCAGTAAAAATCATACCTTTTTTTGTGCAGTCTTTTTTTTCGATAATACGGGTACTTTTTTTTTCTCTTGCACGATGATAATTGCGAGAGAGAGTCGCTGGTTTTACGAGCCTGGCAATCGCGCGACACAGATTCTCGGAGAGATGCTCAACGAAGCGAAAGACGCGCGATTAATTATAACGCTTACGCACGCAGTGTGACACGGTGTGCGATTTTCTTGCTGTGATTTTTTTTTCCTTTTTTTTTTCTTTTAACGAGGTGACATCGTTCGCCGAGGCGATGAAAAAAAAATGTATCTTCTCCTGAATAGTACAATAGGGACAGCTCGTAGCTCGTTTAATGACCAAGTCTCGACGGGATGAAGATGAAGACGGAAAGCACTCGCTTGCTTATGCGTGAAAATAATTTTTTTTTTTTGATTTCTCGAGAAAATAACTGGAATAATTATCGGAGTATCGGTATGATTTTATATAATTTCGATATCTTGTTAGACGCTCTTATTATAAAAAACTACTATACAATTTAACGATATTTTTTTTTTGATCTTTTCAAAATAAGTCATTATTTTTCCTTAACTAATGAGATAATATAGTTACAATTAATTTTAGAGAAAGGATTTTTGAAAGATTAATTTGATGAGGGAACAAATTTAAAAAACTTATATTATTATATTGAGATGAGTTATATTTTCAATTTAAACATATAGTATTAATAGAGCCTACAATTATCATAAACTGAATTTATTTGATCACTTGTGTGTCTAATTGCTTTGAAAGTGAAACATATTTTATTGATCTCTTCAGTGATTAGAACATTTTAATAAATCCAGAGTCCTTGGTACCTTTTGCACCTCATCGATACATTCGTTGATATGTAAATTTTCTGTAAAATTCACTTGTCATATTTCTGCTTGATACTTTTATGAAACCCACTATAAAATTGAAATTCCGCTTAAAATTGTACCCCGTTTCAAATTTGAGATTTGTTTTTCCAACTGGACTTCTTTAAGGCGTTCGTAACATAGTACCATTGCAAACTGCATCGTTATGAGCTTTGAGTCATGTTCAGATTTCGGAATGATAAATATTCGGAATCGTAAATATTCGGAATATTTAAAATTCGGAATGTTTGAAAATCGGAATATTGAAAACGGAACATGAAAAATTCGGAAAAACAAAATTTCGGAATAAAAATATTTCGGAATGAAAAAATTTCGGAAAAATTAAAATTCGGAATCCACAAAATTTTTAATGGGAAATTTTATTGTCTACATTCTCCACTAACAATATTGTGGATTCCGAATTTTAATTTTTCCGAAATTTTTTCATTCCGAAATTTTTTTAATCCGAAATTTTGTTTTTCCGAATTTTTCATGTTCCGTTTTCAATATTCCGATTTTCAAACATTCCGAATTTTAAATATTCCGAATATTTACGATTCCGAATATTTATCATTCCGAAATCTGAACATGACTCTGAGCTTTCAGATTGCCGTTCTGTTGTCGCATTTTACCGACTGCATATTACGTGCATATTACGCATGTGGGCTCTTAAATTATGTTTTCGTGTAAATTTCTTTCCACATACTTCACATTTCAGTTTGTTACCATTATGCACGACATCAATGTGATTTTTGAGGCGAGACTTTTGCGTATATTTTTTCCCGCATTTGTCACATATGTGGGTGATGCCTTTATGCTTCGACGTGGTGTGTAATTGGAGACCCCATTTAGTTGCGAACGTTTTTCCACATACTTCACATGTAAGTTTGATACCATTATGCACGACATCAATGTGATTTTTGAGGCGACACTTTTGTGTAAATTTTTTCCCGCATTTGTCACATACGTGGGGGGTGATACCTTTATGCTTCGTCGTGATGTGAAATTGGAGATTCCCTTTAGTTGAGAACGTTTTTCCACATACTTCACATGTAAGTTTGATACCATTATGCACCGCATCAATGTGGATTTTTAGATCGTGTTTTTTTGCAATTTTTTTCCCGCATTTGTCACATGTGTGGGTGATGCCTTTATGCTTCGATGTGATGTGACATTGGAGATTTCCTTTAGTTGAGAAAGTCATTCCACATATTTCACATGCAAATGTGATGCCATTGTGCATTGAATCAATGTGAAGTTGGAGATTACCCTTCGTTACATAATTCTTGCCGCACGTATCGCATGCATAGATATTACCATTATGCATCGCATTGATGTGGATTCTAAGATAACTTTTACTTTTGAATTTTGATCCACATACATCACAAGCGTAGTTAATACCTTTATGAATTGTATCTATGTGATGTTTTACACTTGTCTTATAACCAAACGTTTTTCCACATACATTACACGAATGTGTAACACCGTTGTGGGCCAAATCAATTTTCTTTTTCGTACTGTTTGGTTTGCTGAATCCATCATCAACAAATTTTTTCAATTTTTCATCATCGATGTCGGAAAATTCTTTTTTTACAACCACGGATTCTGTTTTAATGATGTTTTGAGTCATATAATCATCACTATTTTTCATGTTTTGCAAGTAATTTTGAGAATAATCGTCCTTTACTACTAATAAGTTTATGTGAGGCTTTTCGTCTCTACACTCGAATTCAATTTCCAGATCTTTCAATTCAGATTCATAATATCTGTCCCGTTCTTGGAGCTTACAGGTCTATAGAAAAATCAGTTGTGCGTAAAGTTTCATGACAAATAAATGAAATACCAGTTACATTTAAATATTAAATCTTACAGAATTATCTCGAAATCTGGAGGACTGAACATTTTTCCTATTGGGTTCCTTGTCAATCGTTTCAAAATCATTATTTTCTGTAAGCGACACCTCAATAGGTTCCTCCTTTATTCTAAAATCATTCAGTTAAAATTATGGTATAATATTTTTATCTGTTTTTTTTTAGTTCATTATTACCTGATGGCACCGTTGAATAAACCGTTAGATTCCATCTTATTCTCCAAGAGTTTAGTTTACGACTAATTGTACCGTATTAATTTGAAACTCATTCAAATTGGATTTAATAATAATTACGAATCATGCTTTCAAAATTTATAAACACAACGAAACCAAGTTGTTGATATTATTAAAGAAACCTCTTGCCTAAGTATTATAAATAAACAGCCACATCACGACAAATTTTCAATTCTCATATTTCTATTGTTGAACTATTATGAAATTTCTCTCAAAAACTATTGTGTTTCTCTTAAATTTGGCCTCAGATATTGTGTGTTTTACGGGTCATTCTAGTAACACACTCATCGAAAGCAATGCTCGAAAACGAATCGAAATTCACCTCATCTTTTATTCTCGTACGTGAAACGAAAAAAAAAGTGCTGTATCGACCTAATTACATCGACCATAAGTCACGCTACTGCAATTCGTATCCATCAGATATTTGAAATAAATGTATCGCAAATTATGATCAAGATTTCAAGCGTATATGGGCCTCGCATCGACCCCGCGTTATTACTCGAATCAAACCCACACATCTTCGAATACCGAGGCTCACCCTCGCGCACCATGTACATAAATTTTTGTACCGAGCCGAGCGGCAAAGTATACGCATGCCAATATGCATGCGATACTCGACGCGGGCGTATTTTCGGCGAGGCCTGGCGCGCAGGTGTAGGCGACAAATTTCGATATTGGAATTCGGCGCACAGGTCCTTCTTTTTTTTTTAGGCTCGTTCGGGGGTGGCGCCGCGCGAGCGACTGTATAGTGGTATATTTTTATCTGATCAGGATAGTCCAAAAAAAAAAAAATAATAATAATGACAATAATAACGACGATAGTACTCGTCTACTCCGTCGTAGGAGCGAAGCACGTTATACGAGGGCGTAAATTTTACAGCGCGCAGATGTTTGCATATAGGAAGCGAGTCTATTGTGAGCGCGAAGGAAGAGAAATTCGAGGTTTTTTGGCCTGCACGGCACCACGAGCGGCTTGAAATGATTTCTTTTTTGAATCGAGCGAACGTTTTAATTTCGTTAGGGTGCACAAAAGAAATAACAGCGTCAAGTTGATGTTACGAGTTAATTTTGTTTTCGCTAAAAATATACGATAGTAATGAATCAGTGATGCTTTGCTAATTGCTGCTTTTTAATAGTTGATAAATTTAACAATGAATTATCGAAGTTTCAAATTTCGGCGCTTCGATAATATTTTGAAATTGTATGAAAATACGCGAGAGGGAGTGAGTTCGTCGCGTCGCTCAATGTGTCGAGACGATCGGATGTTATTGTAAACACGAAAATTGAATTCCGCTACTCGATACTCGAATTTTCCGGGCAAAATAAGCCGTGTGTACCGGTGTGTCTAAGTCAACGAGTCGGTCGGTCGCGCGCGCGTGTTCCACCGATCGCCTGCACATCGGTCGGAGTCGGATTTTCAAAAATTTCATCATCTCCGATGAGCAACGATCATCCGAAGGCGCAGGAATCAAGAGAACACCTAAGATTGCGCTGGATGTGGGAGCAAAATCAGCGCCGCGAGCACGAGCGAAGAAAGCGGGAGTTCATGGCGGAATACGAACGAAACAGAGCCGAAAGACTGAGGCAAGGGGGTGAAAATAACGGGAGCGACGATAACAGAGAGAGCCGAGACGAACCCTCTAGGTGCCATCATCGAGAACCGAGCAAGTGCGTGCCTCGTTGAAATTTCTTCTCTCTCGACGAGTCGGTTTTAATTTTTTTTTTTATTTTTTTTTTCACCGCTCAGATCACCGATGGTCAAAGAAAAGCAGCTGAAGTTCACGGTGGAGGCGAGGGAGAGCGATCCGAGTAGGCCTACCGTGAATTACCAAAACGTTGTCATAGAGAGAAGACCCGGTAATTTTTTTTTTTTTAATTTTTATTCTCGAAGACGGTGATAGAGGGCGAATACTTGATGAGATATAGAAGTCAGACAAATCATCAACATTTCAATACAGTTTTCTGAAACTTGCGCTGAACCTTTAGTTCGATGTTCTTAAGGTCGCCATAGAGCCTTTTGAGGAAATATTCAGTACGAGTTTCAGAAAACTAGATTAAAATCTTGATTTTCGGCTGCGTTCTACATCTCCAGGATCGATTGCAGGAGAAGGATCTAGGCCGATTTTCGATCGACCCGAAGTACGTGTCAACGGAGAGTCCTGGTCGAATTTCACAACTCACAGACGGACCAGTAGCGAGAGAGCCTCTTCGTCGTACGCTCCAGCAGAAGAATACCGGACCATCTCCGTAGTCGATCGTAAGTGTATAAAATCGATTCGACCAAAATTTCGAGCCTCCTCGACTCATTCGATTTTTTCTCAGCAGCAGCGGAGAGCTCGGCTGTGTCGGCCCCGCGACGTACCGATCATCGTCGCGAGCCCGCGATATTCGAGCCTGCGTCGTCGTCGTCGTCGTCGTCCATTTGTCGACGCTTCCAAGACATATCGCTGGGCAATCATCATCGCGTTCGAGCCAGAAGTCGAGATGATTCGAGAGTCCCGACGAGCGAGCGCGACGATCATCGACGCGTCCAGCGGAGATCCAGATCGAGCTCGGCGTCCCGACGTCCCGAGTCGCGAAGCATCCACCATTCCAGGTCGCCGTCGCGCTCGAGGACGAGTCAGCACCATCATCGCGCCAGCGACAGGAGGAGGAGGAGCAGGAGCCCCGAACGATCGCATCGTCGTCGTTGCTCTAGCAGGTCGCGATCTAGGTCACCGTCGAGTCGACGCGGGTTGAGCGTTTACGGGCCCCAGATGCCGTATCCGTTCCTCCTGCCGCCGCCGCCCCCGATTTTCCCGATGGGGCCTTTTCCCTATCTACGACCACCACCTCCTCCTACTCCTCCTCTTGCTGCTCCTCCTCGTCATCCAGCGCCTCGGTTCAACGCCGGAAATCCCTATTATCGAGCGCCGTATCGATAAGATTGATTCAGCGATGAATCGCGCTATTATTATTATTATCGTTATGTATAGAACTTACATAAGGCTTAGATTTATGTGACTCCAACGCCCCAAAGTTCGTATTGTCAATTTTAAAATTTGATAATTTTATATATATAAAAAAAAAAACTTTAGAAAACTTTCAAGTTATCGAATGTAACTTTCATACGAAAATAATTATAATTATATAAGGAAAACAATGAAATCGAACGAGTTGGTCCGTAGTTTTAAACAATTACTTCAGACGAATGCATAACATGCATTTTTTGTATTTATATATATACGGGTGCGCGAACCCCGCGAGCGAGTTTGTAAATAAATGCGCGCTTTGCGATACAAACAATTTCTTGACTCTTTGTTTTTTTTTTTTTTTTTTCAAATCGAATTAAGAACAATGCGACATTGCCGCTCGACTGCATCGACTCGGACGTCAAACGTCTCGAGAGAAATCACCGGTGAATCGCGCGTATTATATGCGTTCGTTTGTTTGTTTTATCGCCGCTGCCACAGAAGGATTTCTGCTCGAGTTGCAAAACTGCACACCTCGGGAGCGAATTAAATTAAAAAGGATCTCTTCTACTTGGTCTAATTTTCAAAGCTCCTCGTCGCGGAAGAAGTAAAACAACAACAGCAAAAAAACCTGTACCGCCTCGCGAGGTAACAAAAGCTCGACTCGACTTTCGAGAAAAAGGAGCCGGGAAAAGAATGGAGGCGTGTGCGTAAGTGCGTAAGTGCACCGCCTATTTCAGCGCGAAATAGAGAGAGACAGAGAGAGAGAGAGAGAGAGAGAGAGAGAGAGATTGTGCGACTTTGCGCGATATCAAAACAACGCGGCTGAATTTACGTAAACGTAAATAATGCAAGAGCCGCGAGTAAAGGGTCACGACGACAATGGACCTCTCTGTGTGTGTCGATGCGCGGTACATAGCCGACGCAAGTCAAGCGCGTATAATCGCAACGCAAAGGGCACGCGCGAGACTCGACTATGGGAACTCTGACGTTTTTCCGATCGCACGTGCGTGCGATAATTTAGCATTTAAAACGAGGAAAATCGTAGGAAATAATTTTATATATCCAACATATGCCGAGATCTGACGCAACGATACGTCTAATCGCGCTCGATGCACACGTATACAATGTATCTATATCGCGCATTACCCAATCTACATCGACAAGAACGAGCGCCCATAAAAACTTCGTTAAGATATCGTTATGGAAAAAAAAAAGAAAAACTCGGACTAGGTTAATAACGCATACTTCGTCGCTGGCGGAATTTTAATTTTATAGCGTTGACATTTTTTTTTTTGCGCACTTCTCAGCTACGATCGACGTTGTATCGTTATTGAGAAATGCAAATTGTGGTAAACGAGTGTGTGCTAAGCGTGAGTATACTGTATATGGAAAAAGATACACGAAAAAAATAATTAAATCGGAGTGAAATTTATTTTTTTTTTCTGAAAAAATAGTCATCCTTTCGCTTTTATACAGCGCAATGATAATAATATACATTCTATATGTATATTGTACCACCGCAGCTCTGTACTCGTTTTTATGCTTTTTTTTTCTCTCTCTCGCCAGCTGATCGCGAAGAAAGTTCGCGTCCGCGCCGTACACGCTATCAAAGAGAATACCACCGTTTCATTATAACTCACGCAAGCCGGAGGAGAAAGTTTCTTCAACCTGGCCTGAATACCTCCTCTCTCTCTCTCTATATATATATATATATACTGCGTAAGTCATAAAGAAGTAAAAGACAGTGAAAAAAGAGACAGAGAGAGAGAGAGAAAAAAAATCAGGTGTTGGATAACGCGCGTGTCACAGATTTACATTAGTCCGCCGCGAGCGACGTTCGCCGAAGCACATAGCACGCTACGACGACGACGACGCATCTCTCATCGAAGACATTAGGCTTTTTTTAAATTTCTCTCTGCCATACGGTGTGATCAGTGTCCCATCTATTGCCTCGGTGCAGGTGTCGATGTCATTAAGTGCGTGTGTGTGCAGTAATATTATACCGATCGATTCATCGCTACCGATTAATTTTACGCCTTCGTTCCTTTTTTTCTTTATTACCTCGAGGAAAGTTACATACGAATATAATTGGCCCGTAGAAAGTGAGCGGATCGTGAAAAAAGTGAATAACGTACACAGAAGCGCGGACAGAGACCAGGAGGAGGAGGAGGAGTGCGTGACAGGTGGCCCCGAGCACGCGCGTGCCCGTATATCGAGTGCGTAAACGCGCGCACACGCGAGTTTGTAAACAGCTCGAGGCGATCCGAAGGAGAGGAAAAAAAAGTGCAATTTATTATTTTATTATTATAAAAAAAAATGACGCAGCCGAAGATGCCGGATTATCGGCCGCTGGACGATGCCACGACCGAGGAAATGCTGCGAGACTTCACGGGCGAGAGGACCGGCTGGGTACAGGTCGGCCCGGAGAAATGGTTCTTTCCGCATCGCTACACCGAGCAGGGCCAGGGCTTTTACAATTTCAAGGCCAGGCCGGACGACACCTGGGTACTGTCCTATCCTAGATCAGGTGCGAACGATTATTTTTGTTTTTTTTTTTTTCAATTTACGAAATCACAGCGATTACGATGCGAGCTGGCCACGTGATTGTTGTTGAAAGTTGGACGACGACAAAAAAATGTGCTGACTCTATTTTTTTTTTCAGGCACTACATGGACTCAAGAGCTCGTGTGGCTCGTCGCGAACGACTTGGATTTCGAAACAGCCAAGAGCCGCTTGCTCGCCGAAAGATTTCCATTTTTAGAGTTAGTCTCGTATTCTTTTTTATATATATAATCAAGAGGTCATTCACACGTAAAAAATTATATAATATATACATAACCCGCGCAGATTCAGCATGTTCAATCATCCCGAGCTGACCGAGGAGTTTCTCGAGCGGAACGCCGGCCACGAGGCGAGGCAGGCCCTCGTGCGAGCCGTGACGATACCCGGCTACGAGGTGCTGGACAAGATGCCGGGCCCGCGCTTCATCAAGTCCCACTTTCCGTTCAGCCTGCTGCCCAACATACTGGAGAGCGGCGCCAAGGTCGGACGATCATAACAGAGAATATAGTTGTCGCGATGTATATCGATAATTTTGATTTTGATTTTAGATGGTCTATGTGGCTAGAAATCCAAAGGACGTAGCCGTGTCCTGGTACAATTTGAATAAAGCCTTCAAGACTCAAGGCTACCAGGGAGACTTTGCTAAATTCTGGCGTTACTTCCGCGACGATCTGAGTGAGTGTAGCGCAGCTTTGAAACTCGAAATATTTTAAAAAAGATATATCGTAAGTTATTTCGTGCTTATTTTTGCAGCACCTTGGAGCCCCTACTGGAAACACCTGAATCAGGCATGGTCAAATCGCAATCACAAAAACGTCCTCTTCATCTTCTACGAGCAGATGCAGACGGTAAGCCACCGAAAAAAATTTAAAATCTCACTTCGTAATACAATGATGAATTGTATCGTCGCGCACAGGATCTGGCCGGCGTCATCCGCAAGGTGGCGGACTTTCTCGGCAAGTCCTACAACGCCGAGCAGATCCAGCGTCTGGTCGAGCACCTGGACGTCAAGAGCTTCCGCGACAATCCGATGATCAACGGCCAGGAGCTCAAGGACTGCGGCATCATTAGGCCCGAGGCCGAGTTCGTGCGCAAGGGCAAGAGCGGCGGCTGGCGCGATCACTTCGCGCCCGAGCTCGAGGCCGAGGCCAACGACTGGATCAAGCGCAACCTCGTGGACTTTGAGTTCCCGCTGTCCAACAACAATTGGCTGTGATCCGACGATTTCTTCTTCGTTTGTAAATATAATAATAACAGCGATACCTGACCCCGTTGTGCATAGGATTATTTTACGTTGATTTAATTACCGCATGTAAAAAAAAAAAAAAAAAGGAAATAAATCTTTTCCAGGCGATGCACCTGCGAACAATCGAAGCTCTGCGCGAGCAGGCCTATTGTCGTAACAACAACAACTGTGCTCGATAATAATAATAAAAACTTGGGTGTATAATGCGAAAATACGCACGATCGAGGTTCCCAAGGGAGCATTTATATACATAAAGCAGCTATAAATAGCAAGAAAGTCGGTGCACTTGTGAATTTGTGTATATACGCGTGTGCGTGTGTGTGAATGCGAATCACCGACGATTGAATCGCTCTCGGTTAATAACGAATTCGTATCTAACTTATAAAAAAGAGATGGACCTAAAAGTGAAGCCAATCTATTCGGCCTCTGATTGGTCGACTGACTTTTGACTCGAGTAGAAACGTAGTAAAGTGACATCTACGGTTAAAATAGCAACTTTTTCGAAACTGACAGAAAAATGTACGCGCTCGAAGCGCGCCTGAAAGTTATAACCTCAAAATACGAATGAAAAAATTGACGCGCGCGAAGCGCGTCTTAAACGTCTAGTAATATATAAATGTAATGTAATACGCGATCGTTGGAGCGCGATGATTTTGTAATACCTGCAGTTTAGTGCCTGCACCGACTTTCATCCCATGACATGATTTTATTATACAAGCTATAATGTGAACGTTAATAGTTGATGTTCGTTTTTTTTATTGAGATAAATTTGTATGAAATAAAGGTGACGAGATTTTTATCATTGTATATACCGATCCCACTGTCTCTTTTGTAATCTCCGTAACGCAACCAAAAACGTCAATCGTCGCGATCATGTAGTCTAACAAAAAAAAAGGACGATCGTACTTGACGCGTATTACATTTAATACAATAACGCCGAAATATCCCCAAAATATAATCCCCCGCCTGGCCGCCCCGTTACACGAAGCTGACAAATTCATTCACGTGTCGCGCGTCGAGTGCGTGTCATCGCGCACCGAGGTATTATATTATATTATGTGTATAGGTATGCGTGCGCGCGAAAATTCGGGACTCTTGACAATGTCGTCAAACGTCAACAACCTATATACCATAGTAGTAGTAGTAGTGTTTATGTACGATGAAACGGAGAGAGAGGCCGATTCGGACGGACACACGAGCACGCGCGATATCGTAGTACGCGTGTATGTAGCTCGATGCAGAAAAAGGGTGGACACACGCGGGGAGCAACAGAGAGAGATGCACGCTTAAATGCATATATGTATAAGGTACGCGCAATGCGCATAATGGCCCACCGGATATGAAAAATCATCCCCTGTAATGACGAGACGGCACGTATTATATATACCCCGCGCGTTGGAGAATACAGAGAGAGAGAGTACAGTATCGACGTGACTCCGGACGAGCGTCTGGATATGATCCTCTCTCAATGCGTATAATAATATATAAAAATTTAGACGCCACCCCTGCGTAGACGAAGTATACGTGCGTATACCACCCTTGGCTCGATGATCGTGTCCAGTGCTGCTGCTGCTGCGCGGACGATACGATACGATGACCCCTGGCGAGCTATATATAGCTTCGATGTATAGCTATCGTCATTGTGTCCGCGCGAGACATCGTATGCACGCGCCGATACGCTTCTCTTCTCTTCTTCTTTTTTTTTTTATTCTCGTTGATGAACGCATTATGTAATAATACGCGTACGCGCACGGCTGTCGAAAAAATCGACGCGACCCCCCCGAAACGAACGAGGGCTGGTGCACGTATTACAATGTACGGTTGCATTTACATATCGTATACAGGCGTGTATATATAGAGATACGTGTATGAGAGCTCTTTGTTTCATTCGCGCTTGGATTGATTCGCGAGGCTAATTAATCGATCGTGATTTTTCAAGCGTCTCTCTTTTGGTAAAACATTTATTCCAACTCGTTTTTTCATTATTATCAGCCGAGTTGGTCAAAGAAAAAAAAACAACGGCGTGCTGCGCGCAGTAATACACCCGCGGACATAGATACTTGGACCTCGAAATATTGAGTTCGATTAGTCGCTTCCTTCACTGTGCAATGCAGGTAGTGAAACTGTAGTCACGCGCTGTTATTTGAACAACGTGAAGAAAGCGACAAATCGAACTCAATATTTCGAGGTCCAAGTATCTATGTCCGCGGGTGTACATTGTGTCGTACCAATTAGTGTCGAAGAGAGCTCCCGGATTTATATACGCACCGAAACGACGACGTCTTTTTAAACACCCTCCCATTTATATCTCGACTCGCGGCCCTAAACGATGAATCTCGGCTGCGACGACGACGACGACGACGATGATTCTGCGAATTTGACGCGGCACCGAAACGTTATATCACACATTTTTCGAGGATTGAGTCGTTTCGCGGCTCTCGTCGATCGCAATGAAAACACGCGATTGTCGCGTGTACATACGCCTCTCGTAATTTTAATTGAAACTAACGACGTGCAATAATCGCGTCGACCTATACTCGATGCGATTAGCGAGCTCGTATATCATAAAAATAATTAAATCGTTAAAGCGTCGTCGTCGTCGTCGTCGTGCACTACACGCGCATTATAATATGATGTGCGAGCTGCAGACGAAACATCTACATTTTAATAAATCGCGCTGTACGATGAGATAAATCACTCGATATTACCCTCAGCAGCTCTAGGAATTCGTTCCTTTTTAGCTTTGACAAACGTAACCGGCTCTTCGCGCTCGGCTCTTTGCTCCTTTTTTTTCCTCGCTCTGCATTACTGAGCACTCTGCATCATGGGTGCGAAGCTCTCTCTCGCGCGACATGCGAGCCCGACGCTTTATTTTCGTAGCGGAAACCGCAGTATGTGCCGCTGACTACGTTACACGACGAGATAGAGAGTAGTAGTGAGAGAGAGAAAAAAAGAGGAATCGCAGGCGCACAGAGGCGAACGTCGAGCGCACACGTGTAGCGTTCGTTCGCGTGAACAAAAAAAAAAGCAGGAAGGAAAAAACGGGAGAGCAAAAAAAAGTCATCGAGATTGCGAGGGACGAATCCGTAGCGACGGAATTTCGGTCAAGATTTTACGAGAGAATAATTTCGAAGGCTTTACGACTTCGTCTTACGAGTGCGGAGGAAGAAGAAGAAAAAATAGGTGAAGTAGCGCAAGCTCGTTTGTACGAATAAAATTGAATTGCGCAAACTCGATTTTTAATATCGAAATTTTATTGAATGGAACAACATCGATTCGATGCAGCTTGCAGAGTTGATAGAATTACTTAGTGCGAAATCCTTGCTGGGTTATAAACATATAAGTATTCGAGAGAATCGAGCTGACTTTACTCTCTGTTTTGAGTAAACACGATGTTCCACGTTGAAAATAAAATAAAATAAACTGGATTATATAATAACTGCTGTGCACACGCGGTAAGCTCATCATTTTGTGATCTAATTTGATCGACTAGAAGTGTTTTTTTACTTCCTCTGGATTTTGGGATTATTTTAAAAGTTTCTTGTTGGAAATAAAAATTTTTTCTCTTCAATTTTTTTGAATCTTTTATTGGTTTTTTATAAAGTCGGAGTGAAGAGATTAAAATCTTTCTGCCATCAGTAAAATATTATAAAAGTAGCCGTTTTGATTTTTACTATCTTTCTTAGATGATTTTTCAAGAAAATAATTCGAAAAAAAGTGTAATATTTAGATGGAGTCGAAATAAGCAATAGTTCACTTTTCTCAAAAAATAAATCTATCGTTTCAGCTTACAATTATGAGCTGAGTATATTTGAAGCGTTAATTCACTAACTGCTGTAATTTAAATGCACATTTTCACCGGAGTCATTGAAAAAATGTTAAAAGCTCACAGTCTTTAGTACTCTCAGCTCCACTACATAAATACTATTGAATGTCAAAATACACAGCCCCTGAAACATCGGCAAGCCTCAAGACAATCGCACAAAGTAAACATCAATTAGTACTCGTATCACCAATAGATGTCGTATTCAAATCCACAAGTGAACAATCAAGTTACGCTAGTTAAGTAAGTACTAGTCATAAATGAGCATTTCTTTCCACATTTATCGCATGTGTGTGAGAGTCTTTGAAACATTCCGTTGAATAATGTCCGGTGTAAATCCCGTCGAGGGAAAAAATTGGCCTCGTTCTTAGGCGCTTACTATACTGGCTCAGTTATACCAAAGTTCAATGGGCCTACGGTATAAAGTCGGAATCATAATATTTGCGCCTGGCTCAACGATCCCACAAATCCCGCGAGGATACACATATCGACACTGTGCCACTCGCTCGCTTCGTCGTCGTGGGAAATAGCAACTGGTGGTGGTGGTAGGCCGATCGGGGAAAATCAAATACGAGCGTCATCGAGAAAACTCAGTCTATTATATACCTTTTATCCGCGTAGCAAATTGCTAGATATTGGTTATTTATCGCGTTGTATAATATTTGTATGAAATTTGTCGGGCTCTCCGTATAATTGCTCAATATGCTTGAGAAGAATCGGTGCGTCATTTTTTTCAGGATTAATTTTTTTCGCTGAGATAATCGCCTTAGCAACACACGTATTCATATTCTGAATGAATTTATCTGTTTATATTTATATGAAGTAAAAACTACTCGCGTGTGTACATCGACTGGTGCTACAGCGTCAATTTAAAGCATGTAATAAATGTACCACCCTCAAGTTTCATGTACACGATCGAATCGTGATCTAGGTCGAAATCATCGCACACAATAAATAAATATATTCTCTAACGAGTAACATTGATCTCTAATTAAGCATGCAATCTTCGTGGAACTGCATAAATTCTCGAGAGCGACATTTTTTCTACACGCTTCGCGCGGTACAATCCATATATGCCTACATCAACGTAAAAAGGCTTAAAAGTGTACTTACATACGAGTGTACACGGCTGGCGTGCTCTCACGGGCGTATGTCACTCGCAAAAAAAA